GGGTTTCAACTGCTTCAGGCTGCTTCTCCACAGCTCTGGAGGCCAATAAGGAGATGCTGTGAGGAGGGAGTGGGCTGCCCAGGTTTCTCACGGAAATCCAGGCATCTTCTGTTTCCCTAGCTCCATGATAGAACTGATAGCCTCAGGAACTGTTTCAGAAAGGGGGCCTTTTTCCCCCGAGGTCCTGCCTGTCCCCTGGTCCTGGTCTATCAAGACTTTGGGGCCACAGGTGGGGAGCTGCCTGGGTCCCAATCCTTCGAAGGCGCTAAGTTGAAGGAGACCTTCCCAGATTGACTATTGGTGCCAAAGACCCAGTTCCCAGTGGACTTGGGGTGAAAATAGGACAGGGTGAATGGGTGTAGGGCTTTATGCCCAGAGACATTAACTCAAACCAGTGGGATCTGTCCCAGTCTATAAATCCATGATGAGTGCCCTCCTCTCCCCTAGGGGCCTGGCCCTTCTCTTTAACCCTGGTGGCCCTGCTTCCTCACCCAGCCTTATCCCAGGCCTGTATCTCTGTATATATTGCTGTGTATTGTGATTTATTTATTCCTGGACAGGTGGGTTCCTCTACAGTCTTGCCTGAGGATAAGGTTTAGGATCGGGTGAAGATCAGAAATACCAGGGCCAACTAAGGGAACCAGCCCCTATTTTCTCTCCAACCCCTTGGGACTCTCATCCCAAACCATCAGGCCGCTTCCCTACCAGGGGGTCCCAGCCTCCCCCGCATCAGTCCTTGCCGTGACAGGGCCGTGTCTTCAGGTACAAAGGCTTGAGTGACAGAGGCCTCTAGGCCTAAGTGGCACCCTGTCGGAGACCTCCACAACTGGCCCCCAGGTCCTGGCTTCCCCTCACAGCCAAGCTACAGTGGACCCGAGTCGAGAGGGTAGCATCGCCCACTCTAAGCACATCAGGCAGAGGGGTGGAGTGCTCTTTGCAGTTTGACTTTCCTGTAAATTTCTCAAGTGGTGCCTGTAGGGGCCTTCCCTGGCCCCACTTCTCTGCCCCACCTAGGCATTGTCATCCCAGCACTTTGCTCCATGTCACCCATAGATGCCCTTGCTGAATGTACCCGAGAGTATGTATTCAAAAGGACTCAATGTGGGCATTAATTTATGGCTCTGTATCCAATAAAAGATGGTGAAACTGGACTATCTGCCCCAGGGGTCAATGGTGCATGGTCACATTTGTCAGCAGACCTCACCACTGCCTTCCTGTAGTGAGCTGAGGCAGGAGGAGGTGCGTAATCCAAGAGGCATCAGTAGGGTGAATGAAGGACTGACTGCCCCATGACTCCCCTGGTTGCCAGATAAAAGGCCTCGGGGATGTGACTCCTTCCTGGACCCTATGGAAGTGCTGTCTTTAAGGGCACACCCACCATTAGTAGAGCAGGGGCAGCAGGCCTGGCCTTCGCTGACTTGGCGCCACTCAGAAAGCTCAGCCTGGTCTTGACGTCCGCATGTTACAAAATGAGGATGCCACGGAGTCGATGACTCTCGGCTCCTCAAATATTTAAAATCGGAGAACAGGTGCTGAGGTTTAGGATTTAATCACAGCTGTGAGTTCTTAGCCTCATCCCACACAGGTGGGATGGCTGAGATTCAATTAGTCTGCCTAAGACTAAGTTAGGAGGGATGTTGTTGTTAGGTACTATTCGAGTTGGTACCGACTCATAGCGACCCTCTGCAGAACAGAACACTGCCCGGTCCTGCGCCAACCTCACAATTGTTGACACGCTTGAGTCCATCGATGCTGCCACTTGGCCAATCCATCTCACTAGGGGTCTTCCTCTTTTCTCTGATGCTCCACCCTACCAAACATGATATCCTCCAGCGACTGGTCCCCTCCTGACAATATCTCCTAAGTATGTGAGACAAAGTTTGGCCATCTTGGCCTCCAAGGAGCACTCTGGCTGCTCTTGTTCCAAAACAGATCTGTTGGTTCTTTTGGCAGCCCATGGTGCTTTCAATGTTCTCCAACACCATAACTCAAATGCATCAATTCTTCTACAGTCTTCCTTATTCCCTGTCTAGCTTTCGCATGCATGTGAGGTGCACCTTAGTCCTCAAGCTGACATCTTTGCTCTTCAACACTTTAATGTAGTATGTCATTTGATTTCTTGACTACTGCTTCCGTGAGTATTTATAGTTGATCCAAGACAAATGAAGTCCTTGACAACTTCAATCATTTTCTCTGTTGATAAGAATGTTATTGGTCCAGTGGTGAGGATTTTTGTTTTCTTTACATTGAGATGCAATCCACACTGAAGACTGTGGTCTTTGATCTTCATCAGTAAGTATTTTAAGTCCTCTTTAATTTCAGCAAGCAAGGTTGTATCATCTGCATATCACAGGTTGCTAATGAGTCTTCCTCCAATCCTGATGCCACATTTTTCTTCATATAACCCAGCTTCTGGGATTATGTGCTCAGCATACAGGTTGAATAAGTATAGTGAAATACAACCCTGTCACACACCTTACTTTTAAACCATTGCGTATTCTCATGTTCTGTTCGAACAACTGCCTCTTGGTCCATGCACAGATTCCTCATCAGCACAATTAAGTGTTCTGGAATACTCATACTTCGCAAGGAGGTATGGCAAAGTCTAAAACTTGTTCCAGTTCATGGCCCCATTCTGCTTTCAAGTCCATCTAACCAGGGCTGGTCAGGCTTGGCAATTTCCTTTTTTAAAATCAGTTTCAGGCAGCAAAAGCTCCTGTGGCTTAAGGTGATAGCCTCCAGCTTCAACCATTACTTTAGACCAGCTACTTTACCTACTAGCATGGAAGCAGCTATTAGACCTTACTAGAATCCTGGGTGGTGCTGCTAAGTGCTCAGCTGACACCCAGAGGCCCGTAAGAAGCAAGTCCTAGTGATCTGCTCGGACAGATGACAGCCACTGAAACCCCCCAGAGCACAGCTCTACTCTAACACACATGATGTTACAAGTCAGAATTAATTTCACAGCAGTTGGGTTTTGTTTTGGGTTGACTCCACTGGATATCAGCTATGCTGAGAACAGAGTCCTGGAGTGGTACTGTAGGGTAAGCAATGAACTTCTAACTGCAAGGTGGGCAGTTCAAACCCACCAGACACTCCTTGGAAATCCAATACAGGATTACTATGAGGCAGAACCAACTCAATAGCATTTAACAGCATGCTGGCTATAGGAGCCCTGGTGGTACAGTGGTTAGGTGCTCGGCAGTACAAACCCATAAGCCCCTCTAAGGGTGAAAGTTGTGTCAGTCTGTTTCTATAGAAATTCCAGCCCTGGAAATCCCACTGGACAGTTCGACTTTGTCCTGTAGGTCACTGTGAGTTGGAATCAACTACATGGTGACATGTTTATGCTGGTTCTTCCACGCATCCATGGTACAGTATCATAACCAGGATCTTAAAAAGCAAAGGGAGTCTGAAAGTAGCAAGAGAAGCAAGCAGGCACATACAAAGGTTCCTCAGTAAAATCAGTGCCAGTTTCTCCATACAAACACTGGAGAGCTGAAGGCAATAGACAGATACACTCAAAGTGATGAAGAAAAACAACTTGTCAACAGGATACCCAATACCCAACGAAACTCCTTCACAAATGAGGGTGAAACAACAGTGTTTTAGATAAACAGAAGCAGAATTCATAGCCATCAGATCAGTCTGACCAAAAAATACTAATGGCAGTTCTGCCGTTGGAAAGGAAAAGACATTAGAACGCAATTCAAAGCCACACATAAAAAGATGAGTATAAGAACTAGTAATAAGGAATTCATGCTTGATAATCATTTTTTTATGACAAATGTATAAAACAAATGTCCACTACAGAAAATACCCCATAACTATTGGTGGTTGAACTGAACAAAGCAGGTGGATGTTTTCAACCATTTCCGAGGATTTCTAAGAGGTCACTACTGTTTACATGGGATGTAACCTCTCAAAACATCCCTTTAAGAGTCCTCGACTTCAAGATCTTAAATAAGAAGGGACAAAGACCAAGCCAAAAGAATACGGTGTTAGAAGGGATAAAAGGTAATATAATGCTCATTGATTTATATCACCTGAGAACAGTGTCTGGGTAGACCAGGCAGTTCTAAATAAGAGGCACCAAAATGAAAGTGGACCAGCCCTGGGTCCAAGAATGCTGCTGGTAGGAAAGCACGTGGAGTTTCTCCAAGGAGACCCAGCGATAGGCAACTTTTGTTGGCGTATACTGTCTTTTAGATGGAAAACTGGAGCCCCTGGCAAACCTGCCGCAGTGGCATCAATAAACACTGTGTACAATCAAACTGAGTGACTGTGGGGAGCATGCTGTCATAGTGAACACAAGACACATTGCAGTTTCTGGAAACAAATGGGAACAGAAAATGTATAAACAAAAAACAGCTGCTCAAGTTCACCGCAAGGATCCAAAGGCAATTGTTAAACTAGCTACCTATGGTATGCTCCCAAAACCCTTCACAAAATGAACTAGGATGCAAAGGTTGCATCTTTCCCCAGATGAGGATATTCCAGAAGATACTCTTTAATTAGTGGCAGAGCTTCCTAAACCATGAAAAATGCTCACACATCTAGACACATACACAATGTCTACACGCACACACACAAGACATAGCAATGAGACGGAGCCAGCTTCTAATGAGTCTCCCCAAACCAACAGGACAGACTGAAACAACTGCTACATTTTGACAAGTAACCTGTTACAAGCAGTGAGAGTTGTGGGGAAAGGTCAGGAATATATTCTACAGGAAGTTACAGTGTGAATTAAGATTATTTTATAGAATTGTTTTAACTGGTTTCAATGTCATAAATGTTCAAAACAAAATTACTTACTTGGTTTCATAAAAAAAAAAAAAAAAAGGCCTGGAAGAGTCTCCCTACACTCTGCTTTGGCCACTGACGAGTGGCTAGGGACACAACAGGAAGGGAATCATCTTTCTCCGTGTGGGTGAGTACACACAAAGCTAGATTCTAAACAGCCAGACCTTTATAAGTAAAACAACTACTCCCAAATCATTTGCAAATATAAGTCTAAGTCTTAAGCTTTATTTAAATACTCGCCAGGGAAAACACGGTGGACCATTTACTACCCCTTCCTTGTAACAGCAATGACCAAGACCAGGAGAGTAATGCACACACACCATTCAGTTGGCCGTCGTACGGTGAATGGAGCGTCTCTCAGTGCGGGCGGCCACGGCCACGGCCCCGGCCCCCTGCTGGAGGAGCGTCCACAGTTGAGCGGGGGTTCTTGATAGTTTCATCTACAGACACGATGAGACATGCAGCTTCAGAGGCTGCCGTTAGAGCATTGATCCGCACCATAGCCGGCTCCCACACAAAGGCCTCAAAGTTGTCAGCAATGTCCTCGTTGTTGATGTCTACCCCATACCATGTGCCCCCCTGAAACAGTAAGAAAACAGGGCATAGGTAATATGAAACTACTCCGAAATGTGTTCTGCATACCCTCCAGAAGGCCTGGAAAGAGTTAGGAATGCTCAGATTCTCCAGTGTTGCTCCAAACAAGACTTTCTATGGCACCACAAACAAGGACCTGCAGATTCACTGCTTGCCACTCGACTCCTGACTCCTGCCAGCGAGTCCCTTCATGCCTGGATATGCTGAGCCCAGGTCCCCTCCATATGCTAGAGCCTTAGGTCACTTCATGACTGACACCGTTTTTCTCAAAAAAAGAAGTCCAAAATTTCAGTCCCTGATGTGGCACTGTGGGCTAATGCATCAGACTGCAAAGTCATTTGAACTGCAAGGCTGGTGGTTCAAGCACACCAGCTGCTCCTTTGACCCTGAATACCGGGTCGCTATGGGTCGGAATCAACTCAACAGCACTTAACAAGAACAAACTCTGTTGTATCATTGCTTCCACCATTACAGATGAGAAAACAAACACACTGACTGACTAGATTTGTTGTTGTTAGGTGCCATATCGAGACGGTTCTGACTCAGCAACCCTACGCACAGCAGACTGAAACACTGCCTCGTTTGGCACCATCCTCACCACCATTGTTATGCTTGGAGCCCACTGCTACTGCCACTGTGCCAATCTATTTCATTCTTCTGCTTGTATAGATCAAGTGAATATTTAGACGATTTCCCCAAAATTTAACCCTTAGGGACGACACCATGACAGATAGCCAACACCGTTATGTCCATGAGTCAAAATATTCTAATCACTGCTTTCCATTACAGTAACCATGAGCACCTAGTCTTTGTTGTTAAGTGATACCATTTGGAACCTACCATAACAGAATCCAATGAACTCCATTGTCATCAGGTACAATCAAGTCAGTCTGGACTTACAGCAACCTTATGCATAACCGAACAATCACTGCCCAATACTATGCCATCCCTCACAATCGCTGGTGAGCTTGAGCCCATTACTGCTGCCACTATGTCAATGCATCTTGTTGTTGGGGGTCTTCCGCTTTTTCGCTGACCCTCCACTTCACCAAGCATGATGCTCTTCTCTCCAGGGAAATGAAGTCTGGCTATCTGGACTTCTAAGGAACACTGTGGCTGTCCTTCGGCTAATACAGATTAGTTTGCTCTTCTGGCAGTCTAAGGTACTTTTAATATTCTTCCCCAACACCATAGCTCATTCTTCTATGGTCTTCCTCATTCATTATCCAACTTTCACACACATATAAGGCTACTGAAAATACCATGGCTTGCGTCAGGCGCGCCTTAATCTTTCCTCGTGAACACTTTAAAGAGAGGTCTTATGCAGCAGATTTACCTAATGTAATGCATCCTTTAATTTGTCGACTGCTGCTTCCATGAGTGTTGACAGTAGATCCAAGCAAAATGAAGTCCCTGCCAACTTCAATCTTTTCTCCATTTATCATGTTATTGATCCAGTGGTAAGGATTTGTGTTTTCTTTACATTGAGGTACAACCCATTCTGAAGGCTGTGGTTTTTGATCTTCATCAGTAAATATTTTAAGTCCTCTTTGTTTTTAGCAAGCAAGGCTGTATTATCTACACATACAGGTTGTTAATGAGTTTTCTTCCAATCCTGATGGCATATTATTTTTCATATAATCCAGTTTCTTGGATTATTTGCTCAAAATACAAACTGAATAAGTACAGTGAAAGAATACAAACTTGGTGCACACCTTTCCTAATTTTAAACCATTCAGAATCACCTTGTTCTGTTAGAACAGCTGCCTCTTGGTCTGTGTACACGTTCCTCATGAGCACAATTGTTGTTGTTGTTGTTAAGTGCCGTCGAGTCGGGTCCGACCCATAGCGACCCTGTACAGGGTTTCCGAGGGTGCAAATCTTTACGGGAGTAGAAAGCCTCATCTTTCTACATGAGCACAATTAAGCGTTCCAGAATACCCATTCTCCACAATGTTGTTCATGGCTTGTCAAGATTGACACAAATAAAAATCTTTTGTATAGTCAATAAAGCAGACATAAACATCTTTCTGGTACTCTCTGCTTTCAGCCAAGATCTGTCTGATGTCAGCAATGATATCCCTCATTCCACATCCTTGTCGGAATCTGGCTTGCACCTTTGGCAGTTCTCTGTCCATGTACTGTTGCTGTTTTTGAATTATCTTTAGCAAAATTTTACTTGCTATGTGGTATTAATGATATTGTCTGATGACTTTTGCATTCCATTAGATCACCTCTCATAGTATTGGGCAAAAATATGGCTCTCTTCCAACCAGTTGGTCAGATGGCTGTCTTCCATTCCAAATTTCTTGGCAAAGATGAGTGAGTGCCTCTAGTGCTGTATCAGTTTGTTGAAAGATTTCAATTTGTAGTCCATTTATTCCTGGATTGTTCTTTGGCAATGCCTTCAATGTACCTTAGACGTCTTCCTTTAGTACCACTGGCTATGGATCATGTGCTACCTTTTCAAATGGTTGATCACCGACTATTTCTTGTTAGTACAGTGACTATGTATCCCTTCCATCTTTTGACATTTCCTGCATCATTCAGTATTTTGCCCATATCGAATACTTCCATATCACAAGTCAAGGCTTGAGTATTTTCTTCAGTTCTTTCAGCTAGAGAAATGTTGAGCGTGTTCTTCCCTTTTTGGTTTTTTAAACAGGTCTTTGTACATTTCTTTATAATACTTGACTCTGTTTCTGGAGCTGCCCTTTTAATTTTCTGTTCATTTCTTCCATTTGCTTTAGCATCTCTATGCTGGAAAGTAAGTTTCAGAGGCTCTTCTGACATCCATTTTGGTCTTTTCCTTCTTTTTGTCATCTTTGATCTTTTACTTTCTTCCTGAATGTTCCTCATGTTAGACTACAACACATCTGGTCTTCGGTCAATAATGCCTAATGCTTCAAATCTATTCTTGAGATGATCTCTAAATTCAGGTGGGGTATGTTCAAGGTTATATTTTGGCTTTTGTGGACTTGCTCACCAGTAGTTCCTTGGAAACCCTATACAGGGTTGCTATGAGTTAGAACCAATTTCATAGCACTTAGCAACAACAACAGCATATGTGTATATAAGTGGACATATACGGATGTACCCTGATGTGGCACCGCAGGATTATCACTACACTACTAACCATAAGATCAGTGGTTCAAACCTACCAGTCGCTCCTTGAAAACCTTAAACAGGGTTGCCATGGGTTGGAACTTACATGATGGTACTTAATAACATCTCTCTAGATACAGAGACTATATTTAACAAATTAAATAACCAGCCAAAGGCCACAACTTGGAAGTGGTGCTGCCTCTGCTAGAACCCAAGTCACAGGGTTCCAAAATTCCTCAGGGTCTCTCTCAGAAATGCCTCAATACTGCTTCCCCTCTGCACTCAAGAGGCATGAGTTAGTACTGGATTTAGGTCCAGCTCCACCACCTGGAAGGAGCTTTGGTAGCATACTGGTTACAAGTCAAGGTCAGCAGTTCGAAAGTACCAGCTGTTCCATGGGAGAAAGATGAGTCTTTCTGCTCCCGTAAAGATTTACAGCCTCAGACACCCTATACGGGGTCGCTCTGAGTCAGAACCAACTCCACAGCACACCACCATTCACCACTGACACCTGGACTAAGCACACGCAACCTAGCACAGCACCCCCACAGCACCCATGGAATCTAGCCCCACCCAGCCAGCCCTTGGCCATCACACAGAGGAAGGACCCACCTGGGCATGCCGAGCCCGCAGCTTGTTGAGGATGTTTGTGGCATCAAAGCCAGCATTGTCACACAGCTGGCGTGGGATAATCTCCAAAGCTTTGGCGTAGGCCCCGATCAGCAGCTGCTGCTTCCCTGGGATGGTCCTTGAGTAATCCCGCAGGTATCTGGAGAGTTCCATCTCGATGGCACCACCACCAGCCACCACTGAATCGTTCTGCAAAGATCAGAGTCCCATCTTACTGCCCCCGGCTCAATTCTACCCATGGCTACACTAGACCAACCCAGAAAGAGACTGGTTTCCCATTCCTCCCCTATCCTAAACCCCAGGAAGCTCAGACATAGTCCCTGTTTACCAGCATCTTCTAGCACATCCCAGTGAACTTGATGGTTAGTGACCATCATCTGCAGCTTGAGGGCACTGGCACAATCAGTGGAGTGACTGACTGACTATATCAGCTCCCCAGTTTGCCAGCCAGAACAAACCTTAACTTATAAGGAAGCATGGCTTACTTTTGGGAGACTGAGGCTCCATTTCTCTCATGACATATGGGACAAATCCGGGCCCTCCACCCAACGAATGACATACAAACTCAGGGTCTATCAGCCAGAAAGCGAGAACATACAGTCACACCAACAGGAAGGTACCTTGATAGCCCGCCTGACAATCATGATAGCATCATGCAGAGATCGCTCCGTCTCCTCCATAAACTGTTCGGCACCGCCACGGAGGATGACTGTGCAAGTCTTAGCCTTGGGGCAGCCAGTGAAGAAATTGTACCTACACCCAGGGTAAAAGCATACTGTGGGAACCTGCCTACCGTTTGTCACCCACCTGCTGAGCTCTGACCACATGGCCAACCCTTCCTGCCACTCAGCAGATGCTCTTATGTTCTTTGCTAGGGTTCTCCAATCCTACCTTAAAAGACATTGTTTGGAAAAGTCTGGGGCTGTTCACTGAGGCATAAGAAATTGTGGAGTCAGACTTTCAAGTCCATTAAGACCTTCTTCTTTCCCAAAACACTGTGTATCTAAGCATTTTGTGCCCCCTAAAAGACTCCTGATGTGGCACTGCAGGATAAGCACTGGAATGCTAAGTCAGTAATTCAAACCCACCAGCTGCTCTTTGGAAACGCTATACAAGGTTACTAGGAGTTGGAACCGACTTGACAGCACTTAACAACCACAACAACGAGCAGTTCAGGGTGACGGTGGCTCTGTAGGATAAGCACTAGACTGAACCACAATAAGGGAGAAAACTGAGGCTTTCTGCTTCCAATAAGGTTACAGCTATGAATTGGAACTGACTTGAAGGCACTTAACAACAACAAAGAGCAGTACATGCTGTATGTTAAAACCACAAGAAAGCAGGTCAGACTCGGGCTGTAAAGGCAAGGCTCAGGAAACCTCAGTCACAAGGCAACCCAGGCCCATGGCTCACCTCTCGCCTCCAATCTGGGTCTCCTCAAAGACCTGGCAGTGACCAAGCACATCTTCTGACAGAGCATTCACACTGGTCTGGATTGAGCCTCCACACGCCTGAGGAGCACAAGGCAGTTAAAATCATTAGCCGTGAAGGCTCACAACAGAGTCTGAAGTGAGTTTCGTGCCATCTAGTCTCAAATCCAACTCCCATGCTGGACTGTGCCAGGGTGCCCTAAAGCCCTCTGTGCTGGGTGACTTGTTCTCTCCCTTGATCCCCAGGTGACCATTAGCCTTTCTGAAAAGAGTAGAAAACAACCTGGAACTATAATACTGAAGGGCAAACAGATCTAGTTAAGGAGACAGGAACTCCCTTACACACCAAATTCTTCCTCCTGCAAACTAGAGTGCTTTGGGTTCAGGACTGAACTTAGGAAAAGGGTTTTACACCTAAAGGGAAGAAATGGGCAAAATGCACCAGTACTTGGGCTTGCCCAGGTAACCACAGCATTACTGCTAGGCCTGCATTTACACGTCAACCTGACAGTACTCTCTGCCATCCAGGGGTAAATGAAAATCTCTCTGGGGCCAAGGAGGCCAAGAAGCAGCCTGTCAGAGTTTGGTTACCATCATCGTCCTCTTCAGATCCTCTTCAGGCACTCGGCCAGCACAGAACATGTCCCTGTCAGCAAAGTACTGGGTGGCCACATCTCCAATGGGGAGTTTGGACAAGATGACTTTGGCTCCAGAATGATGAATCTTCTCTAACTTGTCATAGAGAATGTTCCACTCAGCATCAACAATTGCCTGATAATCCTAAACAGAGATTCAAAAAAGGGTGAGGCCCTGCTGAGGGCATAAGCAAAATATAGCAGAACAATCAAAGATCCCTATTTATCTGATACACTGAACAGCCCCTCCTTGGTCCAAGCAAGCAAGGACACTATCAAAAGATAACAACCACCGAAAACCTTCAAACACAAAAATGGAAAGTAATGCCAAGAGCTATTCCAAAGCTGGCATTACCAGGATTTGGCCTGCATAAAAACCACTGCACCCATGTAGTTCACCTAAGGTCAGTCTATGCCAGAGACACGTTTACTAAGAGCATCCGCTTACAGGTGAACAACACTGCTACCTCCAGCAGCAGCCCAAGTATTGCCAGTGAGAGGGGCACACAGATCGCTGTGGCACTGAACCCATTCTAAGAGAGCAACCCATCACTGCACACACAAAGTGAACCAAAATACCAACCACGACTGTGCTGTGTGGCTGGAAGGCCTCACCCACTCCTCCCTGGGGCCTTAACATCAGATTTCCCGCAGGACTTGCCCTAAAATCTTTTCTTAGGGACAGTCACTCAGGGAGAGTACAGAGTAAGTAAAGAAAAGAAGTGGGCAGAGTATTTAGATATCAGTATGTAGGGGGTCATGGAGCAAGAAAAAGGAGCCTGAGAACCAAGGAAGAAACAAGCGTTCAAGGCAGCCTTGAAGTTGTAAGGATTTGGCTATGGAAGCTACCAGTTTCCATGCCAACTTCCCACTGCACAGGCCTACCTCCACGGTGTGGACTCTGACTTCAGCATTATCTTTCTCAGCCTTCAGCTCGAGTTCAACATTTAAAAGAGCAATCATGGGATTACTGTACTTTTTGGGCTGCATTTCAAACCCAGCATAAGAGAAAGTCTTCTTGAATGCAACACCAGCTACCAGTTGAGACTCCTGTTTAAAAAAACAAACAAAAACATTAAATGTGCCTTTAGTCTTGGTGTTAAATGAAACCAAAATTGTGGTTTTCTGGATGAGAGCTTGTTGATTTCCGTGAACTAAGAATCAAGTCTTTGGTCACTGTCGTAACTAAGAACTTTCATTATCATAAAAGTTGTTCTTTAGTGCCACTGAGACCATCAATTGACTCTGTGTCTTCATGACTCCTATAAGACGAGCAGAACTGCTCCTTAGGATTTTCAAGACTAGACATCTTTATGGGAGCAGACAGCTTCAGCTTTCTCCTGGAAAACTGGTGAGTTTGAACTGCCAACCTATGGTTAGCAGTTTAAGACTTAAGCCACTGAGCCACCATGGCTTCTCTGTTTTCCCTTTGTTGTTGTTAAGTGTCACTGAGTTGGTTCTGATTCATAGTAACCCTGTATAGAGTTTCCGAGGAGCAGCTGGGGGATTTGAACCACCAACCATAGGTGGTTAGGAGTCCAGTGCTTATTCTGTAGTGCTCGTTCTTTAGCAGACATGGAGTCCTGGTGTGGTGCTGTGAGTTAATGCGCCAGACTGCAAAGCTGTTTGAACTACAAGGTTGGCGGTTTAGGCTCACCAGCTACTCCTCAGAAACCCTCTACAGGGTCGCTATCAGTCAGAACCGACTCAATGGCACTTCATAACAACACATGGTAAAGGTCTGTCTGTGCTGTCCTCTGAAGCACTTGCCAATAGGTCTACGATGATGTCAGTATTCAAGCACACTGTCAGGAAAGGAACCAAGCAAGGATGCACAAGGCAGAAGCATCCAACACAACCATCTTCGGCCCCCAACCCCCTAGTCCTCTTCTCCTGCACATACCTGCACAAACACCTACTTATATAAACACGCCACAGCATGTGTGCTGTAGCCTGGCTCCTCACATCTCAACCCCTTGTGTTCCATAATCGAGCTTTCTGTGGTTTGGATTTCATAGCAAGACATAATAGAAAGCACTAGTTCAGAACCAACAGTAGACTTGGATCTCTCTTGCTATGAAGAACCAAGTCTGGCCCCCCTCTATAAAACAAGGATATTGGGGGCCAATGACCATTAGATTCTTTGTCAGCGCTAATCCATAATTCTTACTTGGTAAGCAGGACTGCCCCCAACTCCTATTTGCTGCATCATTCAAATCCATGGCCTCCTGATAGATGAGCAGAAACTAGTCAAACAGAGTAAAGAAGGAAGGGGTGTGCCCAAGAAGAGTGAAGCAGTGTTGCAGATTCAAAGAAGGAAAAGTCATCTGAAATTGCTACAACTCATAGCAACCCTGTATAGGGTTTCCAAGGTTTGAACCACCAACCTTGTGGTTCAAACAGACTTTGCAGCCCAGTGCATTCTGCTGCAACGCTACACCAGGGCTCCACAATACAGGGCAGGGTCCAACACTTAAGGAAGGAGGATAGGGAGGCAGGGGCCAGTCTGTTGCTGTTAAGTGCTGTCAAGGCGATTCAGGCTCATAGTGACCCTACATACAACAGAAGGAAACACTATGTGGTCCTGCACCATCCTCACAATTACTGTTGAGCCCATTGTGGCAGTCACTGTATCAATCCAACTTGTTCAGAACCTTTCTCTTTTCCAAGGGGCCAGTTTAGGAGAGCCTTATAGACAATGGGGAATCACAGAAAGGCTTTATGCAGGAGAGTCAGCTGGGGAACTTAACCATGCAACAGAAAGTACAATGGATTTAGGGAAAGAGTAAGAGATAAAAAGTCAGTCACAAGGAGTACTGGTTAATGTGCCAGACTGCAAAGCTGTTTGAACTGCAAAGTCGGCAGTTCAAGCTCACCAGCTGCTCCTTGGAAACCCTACACAGGGTCGCTATGTGTCAGAACTGACCTGACGGCACTTAACAACAACAAAGTAATAACACAAAAAGTCAGTCACAAAAGAACAAATACTGTCTGAAATCACTATTACAAAAACTCAAGAAAGGTCTTCACACACAAAGAAAATTCTCTGATGAGTTACCAAGGATGAGAAGGGAATGGAGGGTAAATCACTAACTGTTGTTGTTAAGTGCCGTCAAGTCTGTTCTGACTCATAGTGACCCTGTGATCCGAGGAGCAGCTGGTAAATTTGAACCCTCAACCTTAAAGCTCAAATGCACCTTGAGGTCCAGTGCATTAGCGCCACACCAGGACTCCAAATCACTAACGAGAGCATTGTTGTTCTTGTTAAGTGCTATCACATCGGTTTCGACTCATAGTGACCCTGCATAGGGTTTCCGAGGAGCGGCTGGTGAGCTTGAACTGCCAACTTTTTGGTTCAAACTGACCTTGCACAGTCCAGTGCATTAGCCCACAGTGTCACACTAGCACTGTAGAGGGTAAAAACTACTAACTTGGATAAAGGGGGAAGACAAAATAAGTGGGTTGGGGGAGTCAAAAAAGGTGTGCAAAGATGACTCTGAATTTCTGGTTTCAGTGACTGAATAAATGATGAACATCAACTGTGACAATGAACACAGAAAATGCTCTAGATTTGGAGGACAAGACGACGAGTTTAGTATAAGTTAGGTACAGGAGTGTGAGCCTTAGGGGAGAGGTGAAGGCTAAAGATATGATCAGTAGGGTTCTCAGTTAATCCTGAGAAAAATAATTACTATAATCAGTTACTGAACTCTGATCATCAAGTTCTATGTCAGGAGTTTTGGAGGTAGTTAATGAATGCTGGACAGTCGAAGGAAAACACAAATGGGGGTTGGAGCCCCTGGCATTCTCATCAGACAAGATTTCTCAGTCCTGATCTCTAGTTTGGATTGGTCATTAAGAGCCATGGAGTTGGTTCCAAAGAGCAGCTGTTGGTTTGAACTGCCAACCTAGCAACTAGCAGTCTAGTACTTATGGAATGGCACCACCCAGAGTACCAATCCACAGCTTAGTGGGTGTCAAGTTCAAGTTGTTCTGGGAGTAGGAAGGGCCAGGAGAAGATGGGACAGCTTAAATGATCTCCAGATTCTTCACAACTTTTTTATTAGATAAAGAGGCCCATGGGTCAGACAAGGGCCAAGACAAGGGGAAGTGGAAGGAGAATGAGAGTAGGAATGTAGATTAGGAGGATAGAAACAGAAAATGATAGGGCTATGCTATAATATTTCAAGCAGGTCTCCCCTGGCTAAATCTTTCAGGTTGAAATCACCAACAATGAGTATAGTTAGTAAGCGGGACTAGAAGAGAAAGAATAAAAAACAATCAGAGTTCAAAAGTAGCATGGACAGTCCAGGAACAATGAAAAGAAGTACCATGGAGGCACTAATATGCTTCCAGACAGCAGCCAAAACTGCACGAGCAGAATGTGAGACCCTATCCAGAGAAGCAGCGACATCAGAGATGGAGGCAGAGATGAGGACATGGAGAGAGGAAGTAGCTGAGGACTCTAGACTCATGGAAAGAGAAAGGCTGTGTGCTGGTGGCCAGGAGGCAAACGTGCAGAATGTGACCTTTGGTTGTTTAAATGATTATATATTCCTGAGGATTTTTTGTGTCCACCTCCTCTTCCCCCCACCCCAAAACACACACACACACACAAAAAAACAGAGGGAATAGAAGCTAATACTGTTGAACAGTGATACATGGAGGGGATTTTAATCATTGCAATGAAACGAAGTATCATAGGATGAATGTAAAACCGATGTTCTCCCATGTAAACTATCACTCAATTCACAATAAAAACATTAAAAAAAGAAAAACAGAATTGTTCCACAGCAGCTCAGGAAAAGAGGGTGACAACTGTTGCACAAGTTGAAGAATGGCATCAATGTCACTGAACTGTACATGTAGAAACTCAGTGTATGTTCCTCTGTGGATATTCTCAACAACAATAAACAAAAGCACTTTCAAAAAATAAACTATAGCCATGAAAAAAAAATGACATGTAGATTACTATTACAAGATCCCATTTTGGGGGGGAGGGGTGAAACGGAACATCCAAGAGTGAGTATACACATATGTTTGAATAAGGAGATGAAATGGATTTTCACTTTATGCTTCATAAATTTTTATATTATTTTAAACTCTCGCAAGAAACGTGTTTTTTTTTGTCATTTACAAATACCAATAAATATTTTTAAAAGGTTAAAAAAAAGAAGTACCATGGAGGCACTAATATGCTTCCAAACAGCAGACAAAACTACTTGTTTAAAAATGAAAAAAAAAATGAGCTTAGTGGATGTCAATCTCAAGTTTTTCTGGAAGTAGGAAGGCCCAGGAGAAGACGGGATGGCTTAAATACTGTCCAAACACATTGCTATTAAAATTTAAATAAGTTACTACTAAGCAAAATGTGAAAGCCATTCCCTCTGCCACACTAGTGGCATTTCAAGTCCTCAACAGCCACATGTGAATAGAGGTTATGCACTAGATCCAACAGGTTAGAACAGCCCCACCATTTAAGAGAGCTCTACTGGCAAGTGCAGAGTTCAAAGAATAATACATGCCAAGATGGATGTAGAAAAATGCAGTATTTATATATATGTAAATAATAAATAAGGGACTCCAGGTAGCGTAGTGGTTATAAATCAGGCTGCTAACCTCAGGGTCAGCAGTTCAAAACTACCAGCTGTTCCACCAGAGAAACATGAGGCTTTCTGCTCCCGTAAAGATTTAGTCTCGGAAACCCTGTACAGGGTTGCTTGCTATGAGTCGGAACAGACTCCACGGCACATACAACAACAAATAATAAATAAAGGCATAAATCAATTCTGGAAACTCACACCAGAAACTGCTGACAAAGGTCACATTTGGGCAGAGCGGAGGTAGGGGTGACTTACTTTTGACTTGAGATCCTAAACGTGTGCCCTCCCCTCCTCCTCCACCAACTTGCCTGAAGGGTCAATGTGAAAGCAGGAGCCCCCTCAGGAGAAGGCAGCTGGCTTACCTCTAGGGCTCCACCCTGCACTTTCTTGATCCCAATCATTTTAAGCTGCAGCAAATCATCGAGCATCATCACCGCATCAACCACCATCTTCGCAAAAAAGGCTTTCTGCTGCGAGATCAGTTTGGAGCTCAGGGCGGTCATAGCACACTTCTCCAGCAGCTTCCTCTGCTCCCTGGGACAGGGACAGGACTGACATCAAACCCTGAAAAGCCCTCTCTTGTTGGATTCTATGATTCTAAAACCAGTCCTTTCCGATCTCACGTTCTGCATTTTTAGGGCAAATCATCAGTGACAGATGGTGATGGCAATCAAAAACCTCACATATGACAGCCTTCAACTAAAGTCCACAGCCTCATGTGTGCCATGCAGGTTGGGACAGTCAAGGGTCTGGCAACAGTCAACTAGCCCCATTCCCATGCAGCCATTGCAACATGCTTCTACATCCAACTTGGCTGCAGGAAGTCAAGGATTAGACAAAACCCACCACAGACTTACACTTTGTCTTCCCTCTTCACAGTCACAGCGATCTCTTTGATCTTGTTAACTGCCTGAAAACAGAAGCTGAGTGAGTCTTTCATGTGAAAGATGAACCTGGAGAAGTGGATCTCAAGGTCTCTTGCTTGTCCCTCATCTGTTTACTCTCAAATATTAAACACTTCTAATCTACAGTCGAAACATTTCTAGGTCTTATAGCTAGAATATAAATATAAATAAAGAAAATATAAAACCCTAGAGTTTAGAAAGCTCTCAAAGTTAGAAACATAGAGTAGACATAGTTTTGAAGACCTATCAGTTTATTTCCTGGATCTAGCTCTAGAGCTGCAGATAGTGAACTATACTACTGGGAACAAACAAGGCAACTTATAGTAGAATTAGCCCAAATTCCTGGCATACTAAAAGCAGCTATGACAACTTCTAACACATTGCACTTTATGCCTTTTCTATTTTACTGTCACTATTCTGAAAAGGTTATGATAGTAAAGGGAGAAAAAAAGGCACAGACTTGCTTTTAGGCCACAAAATGAAGGTAAAAATTCTGAATAAAAGCTAGGTGGAGATGATGACACAAAACCAGTTCTTCTTCACTGAGTGTCTATGACACATCAGACACTGTGCTAGCCACTTTACACATACCATCATAATCTACAAGGCAAGCTGAATCTCAAAGAGCAACTAAATGGTAGAAACGAGATTCAGACGCTCCTGAGATTGGTCAAGGCAAGGAGAATTCAAAAATGCTAACTCCCATACCAACTGAGTGGCGGTGCGGAAAGCTCGGATGATGATCTGGGGGTGCAAACCTTCCTCCACATATGATTTCACCTGCTTGAGAAACTCCGCAGCCAGTAGGGTCACTGAGGTAGTGCCATCGCCCACCTGGAAGAGAATGACCAGAAATACATCTTTTATGGTGTTGAAGGACTAAAACCCCAAAACTTCACTGTTAGACAATGTACCCATTTAAACTGGATAGTGTAAATGGTGTTAAGCTTTGTTTTTTTTTGGAAACAGGTCTTTGCAACAAGAAGAAAAGTAGAAAGGTGATGTTAGACATGTTTCTATCTTGTCAAATGGTCCTCAGCCACAAAGGTCAGGTGCATTCTCCAACAAGACTGATTTGGACAACCTGATTTTTTCAGGATATAAAACTACACAGGAAAATAAACTGAGCACTAATTTATTATGTACAAGGAAGGCACTGTGATGTTTAAGATGTCCTTATGCTTACAATAAAGGAGACAATCTCAAATAACACGGCTGTAAGAAGCATGAGATGATCTGTTAAGTAGTACAAAGTATTCCAGACATTTACAAAAGATCATTTCTAGTCAAATCCCACTAGAATAAACCTCTCGGTACTAGCTAAAGTCTTTCATGTTTTAAACAACATTTGGAATAAGTAAATGGCAGCCTGCTAATCTTTCTATTAAGATTCCTTAGTTGATTAAGACATCCCATTTGATAAAGTAGAGAAAGGGTCAGTGAAAACAAAGGCAAGCCTCAATGAGATGGTGTTTTCACAAGAACCACAACAACGGGCCCCAAGAGACTAAAGACCATGAAGACAGTATAGAACCAGGCAACCAGCCACCTTCGACGATGACTTTATATGCTGTGGTCTAAGCTCTATTTTCAATTTTGACTCATGTATGCTCACTGTGGGATGGCAGGGGTTCTCAAGAAAAGAGAAGCTTTATTGGAAAAGGATTTGACTGTCAAATCTCAGAATAATGACGTTTATTCCCTTGTTGATGACAGTAACAGATCAAATAACAGAATCATCCCACTTTAAAATATATAAGAGGGCTTCAGAAAATTCATGGGAAAATGGAATGAAAAGCTAACAGAATTTTTCCATGAACTTTCTGAAGCCCCTTCATGTAAATCAGATCGTTTTCTAGGATACTGGCCCCAATAAATCTTTTCATATAACCTCAGGATATATGTATTCTATGTTGCTGTAAGTTGCCCGTGAATAGATTCTGACTCATGGTGACCACAGTTGTGCAGAGTCACAGCTCCAAAGGGATTCAAGACTGTGACCTTGAAGCAGATGGCCAGGCCTGTCTTCTAAGGTGGCTCTAAATGGATTAGAACTACCAACCTATTGGATAGCAGTCAAGTTCTTAACCATTTGATCCACTCTGGGACTCCAAAAAGTCCAATGTACTCTCAAAATGCAAATCTGTTATTTTTAACATTATTATCAAACGTCTAGTAAAATGGTTCCAAACCCCAGACTAGAAATCTTAGTGTTTCCACCTACAAACTATAAGGTGACAAACAGATCAGAGGTTAACGTCTTTTCTTAGTAGCTCATATGAATGAGAGACTTCAGGGAGCAGACTTAGTTCTAAAGACTGCTGCCATTCACCTCTACATTAATAACTATGAAAAATTAGACATAATGAGTTTTAGACTATTAATTCCATTTAAGTATATTTTTTTCAAGCGTGTGCAACTGCAATCTTAGGTATAAAACCAACATTTCTTTTTTAGCGAGAAAAGCGAAGGAGCAAGTAGAAACGTGTTTCTCCCTTCATGAAATACACAGGATTTTTCCTACCTCAGCATCCTGGGACTTGGCAATGTCCACTAAGGTCTTTGCTGCAGGATGGACAACATCAAGGAGCTTCAGAATTGTGGCTCCATCATTAGAAATTGTTGCTTTACCTTAAAAGGAACAAACACAAAATAAAAATGCAAAACTCCTCCCTTAAGTTCTGTCTTCTAGTTGGACTTGAAGTCTGTGAACATTTTCTTGGCATGGGACAGAGGGGATCACAACAGGAATGAAGCTGGAAAGGATAGCAATTGTCTTTTTATACAGAGTCAGCTCTGTGTACACAGGGCCACCTAAAATAAAAGCTTCCAAAGACCATCACCTCCCAATTCTCTTATAACTGCTCTCCTGCTTTAGCACAGCTCAACCAGATGTAGAAAATACATATTTTAAAAATGAGAACAATTAATCACCCTAGTATTGTCAAATAATAATACGGTTCAGCATGAAGGGGCATTTTCTCCCTCTCATGGCTTCATCAAACAAGGGAGTGACCAGAGACAACTCCAAATGGTTCTTGTCAGAAATAAAAAAGGGCAAACACAAGAAGCTGAGCCTGCCACCCTCATAGAGGATGATAGACCATTTAGTGCCCACAAAACCCCTTGATGTGGCTAGCCCTCAGTCCAGACTCTAGTGAGCTAAAGACATGGGAGGCCAGAGAGGACAAAGTCAATTGTTAAATTAAAGTGAACCAAAAGAACACACTCAGCACTTTTCAAGCTGAAAAGAACTGAAAACTTCAAGCCTTGACTTGAAACACTGAAGGATTCTATGGCTAAATATTGAATGATACAGAAAGCACCAAAAACAGATGAAAGGAATACACAGTCACTGTACCCGAAAGAAATAGACTGTATTCAAGAGATAGCACAGAAAGAGTCAAAGATCCTGATGGAAAAAGTCCAAGGTGTGGTCTAGGCATTAGCAAAGAACAAGGCTCTGAGGAGAGAATACAAATTGAAAAATTTCAACAAACTGATGCAGCACTGGAGGCACACTCATCTATGCCAAGAAATTTGAAGACAGCTTCCTGGCCAATTGACTGGAAAAGATCCAGATCTGTGCCCATTCCAAAAAGAGGTGACCCAATGGAATCAGGAAATCATTGGAAAGTATCATTAATATAACATGTAACTAAAATTTGCTAAAGATAATCCAAAAACAGCTACAACAGTACAACAGAGAACTCCCAGAGTCAGACAAGGACATGAAACTAGGGATATCACAGCTGACATCAGATGCATATTGCTGAAAACAGAATATATCAAAAAGCTGTTTACCTGTGCTTTATTAACTACGCAAAGGCTTTCAACTGTGTGGATCATGACAAGCTATGGATACCACTGCAGAGAATGAGTATTCCAGGACACTTAATTATGATTATGGGAACCTATACACAGAACAAAAGGCAGTTGTTCAAACAGAACTAGGGGACACTGAATGGTTTAAAATCAGGAAAGATGTGCACCAGGGTATATTCTTTCACCATACTTATTCAATTTGTATACTAAGCAAATAATCTGAAAAGCTGGATAAAATGAAGAACATGGCATCAGGATTGGAAGGAAGACTCAAATACAACCTTGCTTGCTGAAAGCCAAGACAATTTAAAATATTTACTGATGTAGTTCAAAGACCACAGCCTATGTAGCACATCAATGTAAAGAAAACAAAAATTCTCACCACTGGACCAATAAATAACATTAGGATAAATAGAGAAAAGACTGAAGTTTTCAAAGACTTCATTTTGCTTGGAGCCACCAACAACACTCATGGAAACAACAGTCAAGAAATCAAATGACATATTACATTAGGCAGATCTGCTGCACAAGACCTCTTTTTTCAAGCATTTAATAGCAAAGATGTAAGTTTGCCATAGTAGGTCCAATAGTCTCATTTGCATGTAAAAGCTGGACAATGTCTGTAGAAGTTGGAAGACAGAAGAAGAATTGATATATCTGAGTTATGGTGCTGGAGAATATGAAAAGTACCGTGAACTGTCAGAAAACAACTAAGTCTGAGTTGGAATAAATACAGCCAGAATGCTCCTTAGAAGCCTAAATGGCCAGACTTCTTCTCTCATTCTTTGGACATATTATCAGGAGGGACCAGTATCTGGAGAAGGACATCATGCTTGGTAAAGTGAAGTGTCAGCTAAAAAGAGAAAGACCCCGTATGAGATGGATTAGCATAGTGGCAGCAACAGTGGGTTCAAAATGACTGTGAGGATGGTACAGGACCACACAGAGTTTCGTTCTGTTGTGTAGAGGGTCACTATGAGACAGAACCAACACAACAGCACCTAACAACAATAAGAACAACATGGGACACCAAAATGCCCACCTTGCAGCACCACAGCCATGAGGTTTCATGCCCATCATTCACCTCAGCCATGTGCTCTATCAGGTGGTGTGGAGCTTAAGTGACAACTTAAGCGCAAATGCTCTGGTCTGAAACCCTAGGCCCTCTAAACTATGGTCCCATGCTACCCACCCAGCCAGTTTTCACCTGCTTTTCCAAAATTCTAGGGCCACACTGCTCTGTACTCACCTCTCACCACACTCCTGACCACTGAAATGCCCTTTCTTCTACTTGCCTACATTTGCTTCATGTCTCCAACCCTAAGTCCCCCCAATTCATCTCTGAGTTCCCAGAGCACACAGGGCTAGATCCACCCACTCCAATTCCCTAGCTTGCACTGCTGTCGATTCCTTCGTTCTAGGCTGCATCTCCTTATAAGGTAGCAGACTCCTGCGTCTAACCTCTCCCTTATCTTACCCACATGGGTCACAGTACGCAGAACAATGTATGGAATGGAACAGTTCCGAGTTAGTAATCATACAAAGGAGAACTTAAAAGCACAGGACTTTTTATGCCAGCTCAAACACTCCCCAGGAAACTCCATCCCTGCGCACTGGCCTGAAGAAGCATGCAGACTTACCTCGGCCATCCACAATGAGCTTGTCCATGCCACGGGGGCCCAGGGTGGTTCTCACAGCCTCAGCAATCACTTGGCAGGCACTGATGTTACTTACAAGCTGGGGGATGCCTTGGGAGCTGTCAGTCCCCTCTTTCAGCAGGATAACTGGTGTGGGCTAAAGAAAGAACAGACAATTACTTCTAATGCACCCTAGCATGATCATCAATTACAATGAGACTCAAGGTGGGGGTAAGGAGGACAAATGCTCCCACTTTCCTATAGCTGAATTATCTGCAGGCTTTTAAAAAACCACCTTCCCCATGGCCTACCACATTCATTGCCCAACCAGCTTCAACCCTGAAAGCTCCAACTTCGCTAAGGCCACAGCACCCCCTGCAGAGATGCTCTGTAGGACTCAGCTAAATGAACACAGACTTGCCACTCCTGTGCTGAGGAAGTTGGACACAGCCCAAGTGAGGGGAGAAGGCTGTGCTTGGAGATCACCCCTCCTTAAAAAACATTCACTGGTTTGTACAGCTCCATCAAGAAGCAGACACACAAAACCCAAAAGTGCCAACAGCTGCAGAAATTGTCCTGGAGCTGCATGGACCGGCAGTTTTCCCCATGATGCTCACTCCAAGCTGGGAAATAAGAGAAACAAAAGGCACCACTGTCTTGCCTCTCACAACGACAGCAAATCTAACTTGTACTGTCACAATTCCACTCCTACTTGAGTTCTCATGTGGGCACCATAAAGCTTCTTGGTGATTAATCTCCAGCCAGAGATCCCAAAGATATTTTTCTCTATTTTACATTAGGCCCTAGACTAGGCACTATCTCTGTAGGGGCCTGATTTGCAGAAAGACTGGGAAGACATGGGATATCTGCTTAAAGAGCCTGCTTCGATATCCTTGCTCCAGTGACCATCAGGCAAAGGTAGTGGTTCCTCAGTTTAGCAAATCAGGGTTCTGCCTCCTGCACCCAAGTCTGAGTCTTCAAAGATGAGCTCATAGACCAGAGCAAGTCTTCCAAATCACTATTTACAACTAATTTTTTAATGTGAGTGAAACAGAATATAGTAACCAAAAACCACACCCACTGCCGTATCTTTCTCCCACATAGTGGCTGGTGGGTTTGAACCACAGATATTACAGTTAGCAGTCCAATGTCTGACCCACAGTACACCAGGCCTCCTTAGGTAAATATTATTTTGAAGCTTTTAGCTCTGTGTTATGTTGTTGTTGTTGTTGTTGTTATGTGCCATCAAATCGGTTCTGACCCATAGCGACCCTGTATAGGGTTTCCGAGGGTGTAAATCTTTACGGGAGTAGAAAGCCTCATTTAGTAGGCTGTATTTAAAATTTCTTACTTTGGATTGCTTAAAAAAAAGTTGGAAGCCACTGCCCTTATCTACTTAGTACTTAGAAGTACTCTGGAGAGCTAAGCAGGAAAAGCACAGGACTGCCTCAATGTAATAAATGAAGAGTGAGGAATTCACATACCACAGAGTCCAGCATAGCGACCTCATAGTAACTGGGCAATTCCTTAACAAGCTCAACCCACTTGGCCAGTATAGCTGGAGGGTAGTGAGAGCAAGAGGGCAACTGGAATAAAGCTGCAAAGGCAGCCAGGAACCAGATCACAGACTAGCAGGTCTAAGTTGGTTCAAACTCACAGCGACCCTGTTAGCGTTTCCAAGGAGTGGCTGGTGGGTTTGTCAAACTTGTGGCTAGGAGTCCAATAATTACCCTACAGCACCACACATCATAGTAGAAGTTTAACTGTATTTCTACCACAAAGGAAAAGTCCTGGAGAGACTTTAAGCAGAGGAATGGCATAGTCCAGTCTGCACTTAAAACCCAACAAAAACAAAAAGAGCTTTCTAAAAATGGAGAAGAGGAGGCAAGGCAGAAAATGTAAAACCATAAAAAGGGACTGGAAGGATGCCCCCCAAACTTGAAGGAGTAAGAGAATGGGTTTTCACACTTGATACTATTTGTTTATTGTTTTCTTTTCAACTCTTTTCTAATGAACACATTAAAAAAACTTTTCCAGACAACCCCTGAAATCTGGGGCTAGGCAGAGATAGTACTCTGGACCTTTTTCCTGGTGGTGCCGTTCTGGTAGCAAGAAATAGCTTCTTTATTCTCACATTCTTTCCTGCCTCTCCAGTTGGCCTACTACTGTCTGAGGCCCTCTATAAGGGAAGCCCCAGGCTCCCAGGATACTTCGGTTAGTGATTACTTGGGAGAATTGAGGCCTCAAGTCTTCTCTGAGGTCATCCCTGCCCTGGAGGGAGCAGCACACTTCAGTTCTTTCACCAAACCAACAGGCTAGTTTATTCAATGCTCTTGTAGGTATTTGCTCACCCCACCTTGCAATGGTTGTCAGTTGTTGCGGAGTCGATCCCGATTCACGGTGACCCAGTGTGTGCAGAGTACAACTCCTCAGGTTTTCGGGGCTATGACCTTTCACAAGAAGACCACCAGGTCTGTCTACCCAGGCACTGCTAGATGGGTTCGAAATCACCAACTTTTTAGCTAATAGGTGAGCCTTTAATCGTTTGTACCACCCAGAGACTCCATGTGAAACTTTATCCCACCCAGAGCCAACTGTAGGATAAACACTAAACTGCAAACTAAAAAGTTGGTGGTTCGAGCCCACCAGCTGCTCTGCGGGAGAAAGATGGGGTTTTCTACTCCCACAAAGATCTACAGCCTTAGAAACCCTATACAGGGTTGCTATGAGTCAGAACTGACTCCACGGCACTAACAAGAGCCATCCTGCTGATTTCTCCCAATACCACTTTCTTACCACCAGTCCAACAATTCTTCACAACCCCAACGCTTCCAAGGACTTGCTAACAAAAATACCCTGAACAGAGCATCCTATAACTCTTCACCTAGCGTTGCTCACAACCTTTACATCATCCTCATCCATCTTAATGTATGAGCTCCCAAAGGTAAAGACTACATACAGCAACCCTGATTTGTAGACTAGCAAGATGAGTCATACGTAAGCAACATCCAGCAGTGGTGGTGCTAACATTTCAATTGACACACATATTGGTGGTGGTTATGTGTCAGTCACCTAGTCAGTTCCGACTCATAGCGACCCTGCATAGGGTTTTCGAGGCTGTAAATCTTTATAGAAGCAAAAAACCTCATCTTTCTCCTATGGAGCAACTGGTAGATTCAAACTACTGACCTTGTAGTTAGCAGCCCAACTCAAAATCCACTATGCTACAAAGACAAAGACCCCTTGCTATAAACATTAGCGGAGGCATTTGAAGGCCAGTGATGGAATTCTTGCCTTCTACGTGGGAGACCCAGGCTTAATTCCTGATAATGCACCTTATATGCAGCCATCTCATCTTGTCAGTAAGACTGGCGTGTTGCTAGGATACTGAGCAGGTTTCAACAGAGCTCCTAGACTAGGACAAACTAGGGGGAAAGGCCTGGAGATGGACTTCTGAAAACCAGCAGTTGAGAAACCTATGGATCATAACAGGCAGTGTTTTGTTCCACTGTGCATTAGGGCACCAGGAGTCAGGGGTCAACCTGACAATAGCTAACAACAACATCACGTACTAGAAAGTGCTTGACACAAGACATGAAATATGACAGCACTGGCTTCTTGACTTAATTCAGACTGAGCTAAGGCACATCAAGCAGGATGTGTCCTTTTTTGTCAATTCCCCAGGACCAGGTACTGCTACGGAAAGCCCAGATTTTGTCCCTAAATTACTTTTCAATCCCACTTGCTTTTACTTCTCAAGAAAGGGACAATAGCAGAATCTAGCAATATGCCCAGGAGAGTCCTGGTGTGGCACTGTGCAATAAAGCACTGGACCACAAGATTGGTTTGAACCACAAGGTCAATGGTTCAAACTCACCAGCTGCTCCTTGGAGATCCCAAAAAGGAATTTCTCACTATGAGTCAGAACCAACATGACGTCATGCAACAACAATCACAAAAGGTTTCGGAATTTTAACTTAATGGTATTTTTCTTTACCTTCCTTAAAAATTATTATGAAGCACACTTAGGTCTGAAAAGAGCAGGTAGCACAGTGTTAAGCAGCTGCTCTGCTAGAGACTTCCAGCCTGGGAAACCCTATAGGACAGCTCTACTCTGCCCTGTACGGTCACTATGCGTAGGAATGTACTGGACAGCAGTGGGGCTACTCAGCTTGCTGTTTTAGAAAACAAAAACATGGCTAGTTTTAGCCTAGGAATGCTAAACACCGCAAAGGCAAGGATTTACATTGTGTACAAGCAGGACAACAGTCACAGGACTGAAGCTTTCCGGGCCCCTTTTACTATTCTGTAAGGCTTCTAGAATACCAGAGACCAATCAATCTGATGATGGCAAGGAGGATTCTTGGTAAAAAGAGGTTTCACATTCCAAAAGGAGACTGAACCAAGAAATAGAGAACAGGGCTTAGTTTAGGAAAACCCCAAGTGCAGTGGTCTGGAGTCCCTTGATGAAAGGTTTTATTACCAAACAGAACCTGATTCCCAGTTCTTTGAATGCCCAAGCTCTTGGTAGCCTTGACAGCAGGATGGACTACAGGGAGGAAGTAAGCAACTACCTAGCTGAACAATAATAACTAATGTTTGCTGAGTGCTTACTACATTCTAAGCCTGGTTCTAAGTACTTTACATAGATTAATTCATTTAACCTGTAATAATACTCTATTCATTGCTCTCCCTTCTAAGGACCAAAATTAAGTAACATGCTTAAAGTCACACAGTATGTGGAAGAGCTGAGTTATAAACCTAGGCATTCAAGATAGCTCCAGAGCTCTGTCAACTGTTTATATTATGCTTCTGCCCAGAAAGTGAAGGCGAATTTTAAAAGGGTGGTGCTGGAGGTCCAGAGGTGGGAGAGAGTTGCCAATTAAGTCTAGGTTCCTTTTATCTTGGTCAAACCATGCTGGATTCACAGGGCATATAGTAGCAGAAGGAACAACACTCAAGTGTCAGTTAGTGTAATGGTTATAAATCGGGCTGCGAATCTTAAGGTCAGCAGTTCGAAACTACCAGCTGTTCCGCTGGAGAAAGATGAGGCTTTCTGCTCCCGTAAAGATTACAGCCTCCGAAACGCTGTACGTGGGTCACTATGAGTAGGAACCGACTCCACGGCACATAACCAACACCACCAGGAAGTAGGAAAAGAATAGAGGACTGAGTTGGACCATGAGGCCACAATGAATGAGTGAACTGCCCGCTGCACAGGGAACAGTATCTTTAGAATTTACCCAGCAAAAATCCTCCTTAAGAGCTGACCCTATTCAACAGCAACTCAGTAGATACTATCTATGTTTGTACCCAGAAGGTACCTGCAGCTCTGAGCTGGAGAAAAAGGGTATTGTTGGAAAAGAGAGCTCTTAGATCCACCAGCCCAATACTATAAGGAAATGAACCAGACAGAGTTAAAAGCCAACTAGAAAAGCCTGGTCTAATGCCACACCAGGAGGTGCAGAAAGGAGGGCCAGAGTCCCCACCTTCCCACTTCTGAGTGCAGTGTCCCTATCCTGCCCGTTCTGACTGAGAAGCTGCACACCCTGCAATAAACCTTGGTACATTCAGTAAACATTCAAATATACGTTCATTTACTGGATGAACGAGTGGGTTTATGAATGAAAATACGAATGGAAGAGTCCGTTTCAATTTATGCTGAAGCAGGTAGGCTGGGGGGCAGCGGGCGACCTAATATAAAGTCCCCCACTACAAAACTCTGCCTCTATCCATTCTAGGAAGTATATAGCATCTTCACATGCAGCTTCTCATGTGCGTCCCAGCTTCCTAGTCTTGCTGCTGACAGACAGCACTAAGCACGCCCAGCCCGCACTCCTTTCACACAATACCCGATGGGGGACTCTGAAAACGAGGTCCGCGACACGGGTTCGCGGTTCCGAAGTGCCCTGGGACTTGTAGTCTTCACCCCGCCCGACAGGAGCCTCCCCTCGAGACCCACGTTGCCCTCGCCAACGGACCCGGCTCCGTGCCACGATCGAGCCAGGCCGCGGCAGCCGGGGTTGCCCACAGGCTGGGGTCAGGGTGGAAACAAAGTTGATAAGCAGGAGATGATCCTATGAGGTGGGTCCCAGCCTGGCGGTGTCAGCCACGGGCCGAATGGCAGCGGATGGCGACGGATGCAAGAGACACCACTCACCATCATTTTGAAAGCTTATTTAGCGGACCGCTCCTCCTCCTCTCTTCTTCGGGTTCGGGCCGCCCAGCAACCCCACAATCCCCCGCGCCAGAGAAATCCCGAGAAGGTTCGCCCAGCTGTTGTGCCGGAGAGGAAAGGGAGGAGCCACTTCCCCTACTCTATGGTTCATCTGCCATAGAGTCGGCAAGGCTAGAAGGACCAAAGGGTGGACCTCCAAGGGCGCTCTAGTTCTCGACACGTAAGTAACAACCAAAGAAAGCACGATCTGAGTCAAAAGATCTGATTCCGATCGTGTTTTTTTCCTGTTCGACCATGTAGGACACTTGCTCTGTCTGCGTCATCAACTAACCCTGATTCCATCCCTATTTCCCACTGGACGCTAAACCAAGGGGTTTAATAAACGCATACATTAATTGAACGCTAACGGTGGCATGGACCTGTGCTAAGCACTTTATGATCTCAATCCTCACAACACTATTATTATATCTATTTTACAGATGAGGGAACGGAGACTCAGGTTAAGAAATGGTTTCAAAGTCACCGTTTCCCACCGTTAATATGTGATAACGAGGCGGGGTGGGAATCTAGCCCCAGTACCCGTTTTCTGGATCTACCCGCGGCTGGGGTTGATCATCAGACCGAGTTTCCAGTCCCTGCAGATAGTGAGCGTGCAAGTAATGCAACTAAGACAAGACGGGCGGGCCTTGAACACCGAACCAAGAGCGCTGAGTCGTTAGATAAATGTCTTCCCGTGAGGGTGGCAAGGGTTTGGGAATCAGAAGCAAAGCAGTGTGCTCGCGCCTGGGAGTACTGCGAGGTGGCCATGGAAAGGATCCAGCCCAGATAGCAGGAGCTAACGGCCAGACATTTACTTGACTGAAGCGATTCTTGCCGCGTGCCCACACTATTCTCCCGGGCCCGCCCACAGGCAGCAAAGCCTTAGAGAGTCGATTCCAAACTGAGCAAAGCTAGGTGAGGGCTGGCATTTGCTGTTCAGAGCTTAAGACAGTCAGCCTTCGGCCCCACTTCTCTTAACCAATGGGAAGTGGACTAAGGCGCAGAGGCGGAAAGTAAGTCTACACCGGCAGGCGTCAGAGCCAATCGGCCGTGGGTCTCGTCCCCGCCAGCCAACAAGCGGGGAGAGCGGGTCTGTGGGCGGGAGGCTGGAGCTGTCAGGCTGAAGTCCGGCTGGGGACCCACGGCGGGGCGCTGGGAGGAAGCGCAGAGTCGGTCCGGGCCCTGGAAATGGTCCCTGGGGCCGCGGGCTGGTGTTGTCTCGTGCTCTGGTTCCCCGCGTGCGTCGCGGCCCACGGTGAGCAACGGGTGGAACAGCGCTGCAGGGCAGGCCGTTCAGCCTGCACGCGTCGCGGGCCGGTGGCCACGGGTCACCTTGGGGGCCTCGTGAGTTCGGGGCAGGGCAGGTGCTGGGACAGGCGGCTAGAGTGGGTGGGTGCTGGTCCCCAGAGATAAGCGCTAGGTGTAGCCTGAGGCTGGGCTCGAGTCCTCAGCCTTCTACGTTGAAGCAGGACCGATCACCCCATACTAGTGCTGACCCAGGTGGCCAAGGGTTGCGACTGGGACCAGGCACAAGGGACAGTTGAAAAATACAAGTTGGAGATACAGGTGCGAGCACTCACCACATATGTCGTATACATGCACACACATACAATCTGCACCTACACAAGTACAAACGCTGTATGTATATTCCCATATATGTATATGTACAAAAGTAAGTAAAAAAGTATTGCTACAAAAAATCATGGAAACCTTTATTAAAGAAAAATATCAAAATGTAAACTTTTTACTGGTCAGATAGAGACTGGTGAAACCCAGAGATTGTGGCCCACGGTCACCCTTCAGATCTGGAACTAACTCACCCCTGTGACTCACTTTTCAGAGAAGCAGTAAGATAGGTATATATTGTGTGCCATCGAGTTGGTTCTGACCCATAGTGACCCTGTGGGAGCCGAGAGCCTCATCTTTCTCACGTGGAGTAGATTTGAACTGACAACTTTTAATTTAGCAGCCCAATTTATAACCCACTACGCTGGTAGCGTAGTGGGTTACGAATCGGGCTGCGAATTTTAAGGTCAGCGATTCGAAACTACCAGCCGCTCCGTGGGAGAAAGATGAGGTTTTCTACTCCCGTAAAGATTTACACCCTCGGAAACCCTGTACAGGGTCGCTATGGGTCGGAACCGACTCAACGGCACTTAACAACAACAACAACGCTACCAGGGCTTCTTAAGATAGGTATACAGAGAGGACAAAAACCTAGTGAGGTATGCACACCATAGAATGGTCATCCATTTGAGATCAAAAGGACAGCATTTACCCAGGGACAAAGTTCAGAAGGGTTGGGAAATGAGGACTGGAAACAAGAAACAGAAAGTGGGATAAGTGATGTTACATTGAGGGGATTGTAATCAGCGAGATGAAACGACGTGTCTGACATTTTAAATGTAAACTTGATGATCTGCTCTAGAAACCTTCACTCAATTTGCAATAAAAAGTTAAATAAATAAACCTAAGGAGTATAAAGCTGGATCTACAAATTAACTATTGTAACCCCATTTGATGTTGTTGTTAGGTGCTGATCTGTCAGGTTCAACTCATAGCAGCCCTCTATAGGCTGTAAATGTTTACATGAACAGAAAACCTCATATTTCTCTTGCTAGATTTGAACTGCTGACATTGTTTAGCAATTCAGTTATTATGCTATAGTACCCCAGTGCCCCTTAGATAACGATGTTGCTGCTACTGTTTGTTGTGTGCCATCATGTTGGTTCTGATTTATAGCGATCCTATATAGGGTTTCTACAAATCTTTACGAGAGCAGAAAACCTTATCTTTCCTCTGTAGAGTGGCTAGTGGATTCAAACTGCTGACCTTTTGATTAGCAGCCCAGTGTATAACCCACTATGTCACCAAGCCTCCTAGATATTGATGTTGTTGTTGTTAAGTGCTGTTGAGTTGCTTTCAACTCAAAGCAACCCTGTATAGGGTTTCCAAGGAGCAGCTGGTAGGTTTAAACTGCCAACTCTGTGGTTAGCAGCCCAGTGCTTATCCTACAGCACCACACCAGGACTCCTAAACAGTGATGTTGTTGTTAAGTGCCATCAAGTCAGTTCCAACCCATAGTGACCCTGTATAGGGTTTCTGGAGAGCAGCTGGTGAGCTTGAACTGCCGATATTGCAGTTCAAACAGTTTTGCAGTATGGTTAATAAAAACCAAATGCTAAAATATTTTTCAAAAAAAAAAAGTGAAGCTGTTGTTTCTTAACATAACCTCCATCTAGGTATATAAAAATTTTTTTTTGCTTTAAATATTTATTGTTGTGAAAATATATACATTCATTAGCTTAACAGCCTCCACATTTACAATACAATGACATTTATTTTCATGTTATGCCATCAGTATGTCTATCCTTCCCCAAACATTCCATCAATGACCCATAGCAAAAACTCTCCCTTTTACCCTCCTTTGGACCCCTGGTTGTCATTGTTATGTGCTGTGGAGTCGGTTCCGACTCATAGCGACCCTGTACAGGGTTTCCGAGGCTGTAAATCTTTACAGGAGCAGAAAGCCTCCTCTTTCTCCTGTGGAACAGCTGATAGTTTTGAACTGCTGACCTTAGGGTTCACAGCCCAATTCGTAACCACTATGCTACCAGAGCTCCTTGGACCCCTGGTAATAATGAATAATCTCTGGTTTCTACATATTTGCTTATTTCATATGAGTGAGATCATACTGTATTTGTCCTTTGCGACCAATTTCTTTTGTTCTATATAATGTTTCCACGGTTCACCAGTGCTGTGACAGAACTTTATTTCTCTTTATAGCTGAGCAATATTCTATTGTATATATGTACCACACACTTTGGCTGTTCTGAAAAGTGCTGCCATGAACATTGGCGTACAGAAGGTCTATACACTTTTGAAGGCAGTGTTTCCATCTCTCTAATCTTTCCCCAACAGAGTCCTGGTGTGATGCTATAGGATATGCTCTGGACCAAAATGTTGGTGGTTCAAACCCACCAACCACTCTTCAGAAACTCTATACAGGGTCACTGTGAATTGGAATCGACTTGATGATGGTTAACAACAACAGCAACAATCTTTCCCCCAAAGAATTCTGTGTTCTTCAACTTACACCACATCAAGAGGGCAGTATCATGTTCCCTTTCAGTGCTCCTGTAGTTATGGGAACAAAAAGAAGTCTTAAGAGGCAACAGCTGGGCTACAGAGTAGCTAGGGTAAAGTTTCTTAATGAAATTCTTATAGGTGCATGTCAATATTGGGGGAAATCAATCTTCACTACAATTTTCCTGGCCTTTTTCTCACTAATGCAGTTTTCAATTTTAAAAAAGCTTCTTCCTAATAACTCCCTAGGATCATCCAGTGTCCTTTGAGAAAACCTATCAATCAGGATTATCCCTTTGTAATACCAAAAGCTTTTTGAGCTGACCTCTGACTGGAATGTAACTGATTCAGCAGATTCCCTCAGAAGCTACAGTTTTTACTGGACCTTTTTTTTTTCCCTCTTAAAGTCACACTAGTGTAGTTCTGGTGTGGCACTGCAGGATAATGTGTTGGATCAGGTCAGTTTGAACTGCAAGGTCGGTGGTTCAAACTCACCAGCCACTCCTGGGAAACCTACACATGGTTACTATGGATCGGAACCAACTCAGTGGCACTAAACAATAATGCAGTTCTCGATTCCTCGTGTGGCATTATAGGATCGGCACTGGACTATGAACCACAAGGTTGGCAGTTCAAACCCACCAGCTGTTCCTTGGAAATCCTATATAGGGTCACTATGAGTCGGAACTGACTTGACGGCATTTAACAACATATATTTTATATATATATATATTGTTGTTGTTAAGTGCCATCGAGTCGGTTC